TCCGTCACCCTAGTAACGCCGTCAGGATCGTCGGCGGGAGAGAAGGAGGAGGGACGTGGCAGGCACACTCGCTGGCTAAACTTTGTCGTCTTCCGTCCGATTTGTTCGGCGCTTTAGATCTTCTGTTTGTTGACGGCGCTGCGGAACTTTGGTAGTTGGTGGCGTTTGACTGACTTTTATAAAATTATTGTTATACTATTTGTTTAAGTGAATTATTATATACTCGAGTCAATTTAACTTGTTGCTAATTTATATTCTTCTGTTTTCTTTATAAAATGTCTTAAGGGTTTATTTCTGTTTCATAGTATATGATGCCCTTTAGCTAAGATATTGTTATTAGTTAATTAACTCAATAACATGAAACTACTAGTATTGGTCAAACAAGATTATAAAATTAAGTGGTAGTAGACTAGATATTTCTAGGCATGTCAAACGGGCTAGTCTGGTCCGGCCCGGTCCAAAATTCATAAAACTCGCATATATAAGCTCGGTCCGGCCCAGTCCAAAAAATATTCGGACCTATTTTTTAAAATCTGGCCCGATCCGAACAGGGCTACAGGGGTTTATGAATTTTTTCGTATTTATATTTAAAACAAAAATAAATTAAAAAATATATTATTTACCAAAATAAATTCATATATAAACAACTACCAATATGTTTTATCGAAATCCAATTTAACTAAAAAAAAGTGTAATCAAATGAATGCAAATGTTAAATGAATTCAAATAACTATAAATAATTAGTAATGTCAAATAAAATATAAGCAAAATACCAAAAATTCAAATACTATAAATAGTAGAATTTTTGCAAACGAAGTATATATATAAATTATTTTAACCAATTTATCTTTAAAAAATATCTTTAAACAAAATTTATTAATAAATTTATAAGTTATATATTTATTTTTGAACTTTCCGGCCCGGTCCGAGCCCAACCGGGTTAAAGCCAAAAACTCAATAGTCCGAATAGGTTTAGCCCGAAAGGCTCGATATTTTTTGGGCTTATATACTTAGGCATGAGCTCGGTATTTTTAAGGGCTGGATCGGGCCGGATTTCGGATTTTAACCCTAATTGACACCCCTAGATATTTCTACTTAAGAAAAATATATTTCTAGGCGAGAGTTTTCTCAATCATAAAATTATATAATTATTTTTATTTGATTAGTCAAAATTATGTTATAATTGGAACTTTTTAAAAAATTCGGATGAATGAACTATTCGATCATTATATTTACTCTGAAAATTAAT